TAAACCTGCTGAAATAAGCAGCAAAACCAGATTATATGACCCAAGCTGTAGACCACGTGCACTTGATGTGAAGACGACTTGCGTAGCAAGTAATTTGGACATGGATAACTTGTTTTTATCAGCTGTCACTCTATCTAGGCGTGTGATTAGTGGTCTCGTGGCATCACTTAACAATCTTCCATTATCCTCTTTGTTTCTATGTTGTCTCGAGTTGAGGCTGAATGACGAGTTAAACTGGTAGCTACTTCGTGTTTGCTATTGTCTCATGTTCATCAGGGATATTGCGTCATTCCCCATTTGGGCTGTGATGACAACTATTTCAGGTACTTCTTAATAGCTACGCCTTTTATAATCTAGGTATAAAAATCTTTGTCTAAGTAAATAATGACACATGTCTTCTATCCCCACTTTATAAAAATCAAAAAGTACCTAGGTAGGTAGGCAACGTTAGACTCATCTAGTAGTTTCGGAGCAGTACGTACCTCTAGACACACCTGATGTAGGCAGGTACGGCCTACCCTATGTATATATACAGAGTAGTCACAGTGCTAGGACACTAGGTCCCTCCAACACCTCTACAACAACAATACACGCAAGATGACCATTCCATGACACCTGAAGTACCTAGGTATGATCGATTATGGCTTGATAGCGGGGTTGGTCAGGAGGGAAAATTTACACACCTGCAAGAATTTAATGTACTAATGACCCCACCATCCATCCCGTCTGTGCTGGAAAGTGATATCGAGTGATAGGCAGGCAGCGATAACAGCTGAAGGCGGGGTGATAAGGGGTGGTTGGTAGGGGTGTACCTAGTTGTCATTGCTTTGGGACGGCTTGGCACAATGGACAAGAAAATGTCAAACACAAACAATAAAAGTGTACCGAATGAAAATTCTCTTTTCCCTTATCATATTTCAAGGTGTGGTAGTAGAGAGTCAGGTACGGGCTTGGTGGAACATGACGTTTTATGAATATTACCTAATGTTGTACGTAGTATGCATTCTTGTGATTTACAGACAAGGCTGGCGATGACTTTGCTAGGTATTGGCATGACCAATAGCCAATATTAAAACTAACGTTAATATGTACTAAGTACGGAGTAAGTAGGTAGGCAGGTGCTCCTAAGAAACGATCTGCATAGGCTGGGATTTGTTGTCTTTTTTTTTCCTTGCTCGCAGTTACCTGAAGCCTCTAGAAGTTTCGCACTGCAGCAACTACTACACTACACGCCCCTACTAAGGGGGGCGTGTCGCTAAGGAGGGGTAAGTGGGTAAGCCCGGGTGAGGCTAGACTACGCAGAATTCGACCACAGACCTGTCCCGCCTGTCCCTCCCTCTCCCACCTTATTAGGTACGGGTAGTCTACACCTACAGTGCGCATTTGGGCAGCTTTTTTTTTTTCTTTCTTCTCCTACACCTTATTATAAGAGAATCGCTTTTCTATTCTGTTGTGCTAGGTAGTCACTACGTTAGAAAGCGCCCGAAGTGCCGCAAACTGCAGACGACTGGACATAAACCCCCCGCCCTCTCCCGACCCGACCGTCTCTCACCGCCGAGCCTGGACTCTTCTCGAGCTGCTCTGTTTATCGCCGACCTCTTCTTGCCCCTAGATCCCCCTCTTAGATCGGTTCTCAGCAGTCTCCCGTGCAACCAAACCACTCCCACTTGTTACATCTACCTAGCCAAGATGAGCGTTGTTGGTATGTTACGTCTCTCTCCTCGCCCAGACGCTTATTTTTTGCGCCTGCTCGCTGTTTACCTTCTGTTTACTAACCCTAGCGCCATCCAGGTGTCGATTTCGGAACGCTCAACACAGTTATTGCTGTTGCGAGGAATCGGGGTGTCGATGTCGTACGTAACACCTTTCATGCTTCCGGCTCACCCTATCTGTTTTATATTATTGTAGCCCCTGGTCGTAAAGGCTGACAGGTCACTTGGCCATTAGATCACCAATGAAGTCTCTAACCGTGCGACGCCGTAAGTGTTACCCCGCCTAGCTGGCTGGCGATAGCTTCTTTTCTTTCCGCTAACCTTGGCTTCCAGCTCCCTCGTCGGGTTCGGCCCCAGAGCTCGCTACCTAGGCGAGCCGGCCAAGACACAAGAAATCTCCAACCTCAAGAACACTGTCTCCTCCCTAAAGCGTCTTGCTGGACGCGCTCTCCAAGACCCAGACGTCCAGATCGAGGCGCAGCATGTCTCGGCCACCCTCGTAGACTGCGGTGGCGAGGTTGGCGCTGAGGTCTCGTACCAGGGCAGGAAGGAGAAGTTTACTGCCACTCAGCTCGTTGCCATGTTCCTAAGCAAGGTAAAGGCCACCGCTGCTGCCGAGCTGAAGTTACCCGTAGCCGACGTTGTCCTGAGTGTGCCACCGTGGTTTACCGACATCCAGCGACGGAGCATTCTGGACGCTGCCGAGATCGCCGGTCTTAAGCCTCTTCGGATCATGAATGATACCACTGCGGCCGCCCTGGGCTACGGTATCACGAAGCTGGATTTGCCCGCTGCAGAGGAGAAACCGCGTCGTGTTTGCTTCATTGATATTGGTCACAGCAACTACTCCTGCTCTGTTGTCGAGTTCAAGAAGGGCGAGTTGACAGTCAAATCCACTGCCTTCGACCGCCACTTCGGTGGTCGCGATTTCAACTTGGCCTTAGTCAACCACTTCCAGAAAGAGTTCAAGGGCAAGTACCGTATTGATATTGCGACCAATCCCAAGGCCTTGGCTCGCGTCGATGCTGGTGCGGAGAAGCTGAAGAAGATTCTGTCTGCCAACCAACAAGCTCCCTTAAACATTGAGTCTCTCATGAACGATATCGATGTTAATGCTATGGTGACGCGGCAAGAATTTGAGGCTCTTGTTGAGCCACTCCTGAATAAGGTCACGGCACCGCTAGAACAGGCTCTTGCCGATGCTGGACTGACCAAGGATGATATCGACTTCATTGAGCTGGTCGGTGGCAGCACTCGTGTGCCAGCTATCAAGGAGAGAATCCAGGCCTTCTTCGGAAAAGGTCTGTCGTTCACTCTCAATCAGGACGAGGCCATTGCTCGAGGTTGCGCTTTTGCTTGCGCTATCCTATCGCCCGTCTTCAAGGTTCGCGATTTCTCTGTTGCGGATATCGTCCACTACCCGATCGAATTTTCTTGGGAGAAGGACGTAGACATCCCTGATGAGGATACGAGCTTGACTGTCTTTGCCAAGGGCAATGTTCTACCCTCCACTAAAATCCTAACCTTCTACCGGAAACAACCTTTTGATCTAGAGGCCCGCTACTCAGAACCCAAAGACCTTCCCGGCAAGGTGTCTCCTTTCATTGGTCGTTTTTCAGTCAAGGGAGTCAAGGCAGACCCCAAGACAGAATTCATGATCTGCAAGCTAAAGGCAAGGGTTAACATCCATGGTATTTTGAATGTAGAGAGTGGTTATTACGTCGAAGACCAAGAAGTCGAGGAGGAGATCAAGGACGACAAGAAAGACGATGGCGAGAAGAAAGATCCTGATGTGAGTTTTTCCTTTTCCGATTGCTCCGCTGCCCTCTCAACGCGCTGCAACCTTTGGCAGCTGTAACATCCCAATAACTGACTTATGTTACTCTTAGGCCATGGAGACTGATGATAAGAAGGATGAGAGCAAACCCAAGACACGAAAGGTGAAGAAACAAGTTCGTAAGGGCGATCTACCTATTGTCGCTGGAACTACTTCTCTCGATGCGAACACCAAGTCTAGTTTGTTCGAGAAAGAGGCAGCTATGATCATGGAAGATAAACTAGTGGCCGATACAGAAGAGAAGAAGAACGAGCTCGAGACCTACATTTATGACATGCGTAACAAGTTGGACGATCAATTCGCCGACTTCGCCAGCGACGAGGAGAAGGACAAGTTGAGGGCGAAGCTTACCGAAACCGAGGTGAGTTCTTTTATTTATAATCTCCCTGATGCGATGCGGTGTGGCTGACTTGTTACCCTTAGGACTGGCTTTATGAGGAGGGTGAGGATACCACAAAGGCTGTTTACGTCGCCAAGATAGATGAGATCCGTTCCATGGCCGGTCCTATCACCCAGAGGTACTTTGACAAGGTAGAGGCCGACCGCCAGGCCTTACAGGCCAAGCTTGATGCCGAGGGGGCCGCAAAGAAGGCGGCCGAGGAGGAAGCCCGTAAAGGAGCTGAGCCGGAGAAGAGTGAGGGTAATAAAGATGAGGAGATGACGGATGCCGATACCACCAAGCCCGAGGTTGAAGAGTCTCAGTCCTAGGGGAATAGCCTGAGGACGCGGGATGAGTGGGATGAACGGGACACCAACATAAGAGCGCGCAGCCGAAGCCCATGAGGAAGTATCTTAAAAAGTAACGTAATGACTACAATGGAATGGGCCCAGGATGGATATGTTGACGATGGCTTGGGAAGACTTTTGGTTTGCTTTCGTCTCGACCGGATATGGCGACATTGCGGTGTTAGAGATAGACTACGGCCGCTCAAACAGTACACGAGGCCGGCTGCAGAGTCAAGATAGACCGTATCCGGAATCGGGTATGTTCATAAAAAATATGGCATTTGTTTTTTGCGTAACATCTATCTAGTAGAAAGTGAGATGCTAAGTGACCCGTTCTATTTAGGTGTCGTAGGAATTAAAGGTAATAAATTGCGACAAAAAAACTAGTATCCATTAAATTACCCAGGATCATAACTGGTACAAAAACATCTCATGAGCCTATAAGATAGCAAGGTAAGTATACAATATAATAAATACAGTGTAGTGAGATTTCCAGTGCCTTGCTTTATCTTGTCGGAGGATCTACCCTTCCGGCGAACCAATCACTAATTAATAAAAGGATTTTAAGATAAAGCCACACGATTGAACTACCTATCTATCCACCCGACTGGCTAGAACTAGTGTAACAAAGCCCCCCTGCCACACAATATGACACCACCCATCCCTCTTGGTCCTCCCACCCACCGTTTATTCATAAAGGTTCCCAACACCACCATCTGTCAACCGGCCTCGTGGCCTAATGGCTAGGGCGCTAGATTTCGGTGATCAATCATTGAAACCTCTAGAGATTGTCGGTTCGAGTCCGGCCGAGGTCGCATACATCACACAGTATTCATCCGAATTGGTGTAGTGGTTAACATTTGACGCTCTCATGACTAAACTTGTGTTCTTTAGATCATAGTTAGAATGGTGCCGTCAAGCCCGGGGTTCGATTCCCCGATTCGGAGATTATTCTTTTGGTGTTCTTAGGTTATGATTATTTTTTGTTGTGAGATGAGGAAGGAAGTATTGTGGTGGTTGTATGCATATAGTGTTGCAAGGTGATATTATTGATGTTGTAGGAGTAATGGAGGCCAGTCACAGGGAACCAATCCACTGTGAGGGATTCTTTACTTGTTGCTGTTAACTTGTTAAAAGGGACACTAATTAAGTCATGGTTTCTTTTTCTTTTTTATAGTGAGCGTTACGCCTTTCTATTTTATCACTAGTTGACCTGAGTAAAAGTTAGGTATATTAATGGTTGCTTGCCTAGGACATATGTAAATTGCAAAGAGTGACTGATCTTGTCTTCTAACCTAGAGCACTATGCTGAAGATAGATTAAGTATACTCTATCGATAAGCTCGATAAGAGCCCCTCTATTGCTCGCTTACATCCTTATCGGTACCTGGTCGCTCGGACTTTTGGTGTTTTGTCCGACAAGGTTAGTTAGACCTATACTACCTACCTAAGTACCTTAGTATCCATGTCTCATGTGCTCACGGGCATTTCACAAATTTAATTTATCCACTGAATTTGTGCAAACTCACTCCCCGCAGCGTCATCATCCAGTCGGCTAGGTTAGCTGCCTGCAACGCTCCCACATTGGCCAACGCCACTAGGTTACCAAACCAAATACCACCACTCAATAATCCCCCACCACTATACATACCGAGTGAACTAGCAGACCCTCTCTTGTCCCTTCCAACACCCAGTGAGAACGCGGGAGGCCCTTTTCTTTCTCTAGTGTGCAGTCTCTTTCCTCGCCTCTGTTTGCCTTTCGGAGATAAGTGTCGGAAAGAAACAGGCCATGTCTCGGGATTCCTCTGGGACATGATTCTAAAATACACATATCTGGTAACAACCTTTCCTTAGTCCGTCTCTCCCTCTTCGGTCGTCTAGACATTGCTCTCGTCATCCGGCCTCGCCTCGCCTCGCCTCACTTCACCTGGCCTTGTCTTGTCTTGTCTTGTCTTGTTCTGCTAGGTGACCAGTGGATATCCGGCACGACACGACCGAAGACACGTTCTTCTCCATATCCATTCAATTCTACTGCACTTTGCTGTGTAGCAAGACTCTTTTAACTACTCTTCCTCGACGCTGCCTAGTTACGGATTCAGCAAGCAGCCTTCAAGATGCCGCCGAAAAAGAAGGGAGGAAAAAAAGCATCTGACGATTGGGAAGCCGAACTTGGTGAGACCATTGCACCCACCAATGGCGATGCCGCTCCCACCACCGCCGACACCCCGGCAGAGCAGCTCGAGGAAGATGATGCGCCAGTCGGAGGTCTCATGGCCATAAGGAAGAAGGCCATGGAGAAGCGCAAGAAGAAGGGCTTGTCCGAGAACTTCGTCGACGGAGTGCAACCCACCACCCCTGAGCCCACCGACATCACCGCCTTCCAAGCGCCCCAAGAAGCAACGGCGGACGATGAGTTTGCTCTGCCCGAGAAGAAGGGGAAGGGAGGGAAGCAGAACAAAAACCAAACTGCTGCCAAAGCGACCCCTGCCGCTGCTGCTGATGGAGACGATGACGCCGACTCGGGTAGGATACTCACCAAGGCCGAAAAAGAGAAGTTGAGGAAAGAGAGGGAGAAGCAAAGGAAAAAGGAGCAGGTTGGTACTACCTATTATACGTCTCGATTGGTTCCAAGCTCTAACGTTTACTACTTTGTCTAGGCTGCGAAAAAGAAGACCGCAGCGCCCGCACCCGCACCCGCTGCGAAGGCTCCGGAGCCTGCCAAAGCTGCTGCTGAAGAGAAGGAGGCCCCAGCTTCGGCACCCGCCGCAGAGGCTCCGGGAAAGAAGGGCAAAAAGATCCCAGCGCACCTGGCCGCCATTCAGAAGCAGCAGGAGGAATTACGGCGGCAACGTGAAGAAGCCGAAAAAGCTGCCGAAAGCGAGAAAGCTCGCATAGCAGACTTAGAGAAAAAAGAAGCTGAAGAACTAAAGCGAAAAGAAGAAGAGAGGGCTCGTAAAAAGCAGAAGGAAAAGGAGAGGATTGAACAGCTCAAGAAAGAAGGAAAGTATCTGACTAAGGCCCAGAGGGAAGAGAAGGCTCGCAATGAGAGGAAGCTGCAGCAAATGATCAATGCTGGTCTTCAGGTTGGACCTTCGGAAGATGGCGAGGAAAAGAAGAAGAAGGTCACTTACGACAACAAGAAGAGGGGCAAGAAGAATGACCAAAAGGTTGTATCCCATCCCCTTCCTGTGGCTTACTTGAGTGATTGCTTTTGCTAACATTTTCGTAGGTGGATGAAGAGAAAGCCTTAGCCGAAGCTGCCGAGCGAGCAAGGATACAAGCCGAAGCTGCAGCCAAGGAGGCTGAAGCCAAGGCCGCCGCGGAAGCCGCTGCCCAAGCTGCCGCCGAAGAAGCTGCTAAGAAGGCTCAGGCGGATGAAGAAGTTGAGGATGATTGGGAGGCAGCCGCAGCTTCGGGAGATGATGTGAAGGACAGCTGGGACGCCGATTCGGATGAAGAAGCCGAAAAGAAAGCCGCTGCGGCAGAATCCGCTAAAGCATTAGCTTCACGACCTAAAGCTAAGGAAGCCGAGTCTGAATCCGAATCAGAAGAGGAATCCTCTGAAGATGAGGAGCAAACAGCTGCTCGAGCCGCCGAAGCCCGGCGTAAGAAGGAGGCCGCCGAACGGAGAGAAAAAGCCCACCAGGCTGCTCTGGCCGCGAGATCTAAGGAGAACCTTCGCAGCCCTATCTGCTGTATCCTGGGTCACGTCGATACAGGAAAGACGAAACTGCTAGACAAGATTCGGCAAACAAACGTCCAAGAAGGAGAAGCTGGAGGTATCACACAACAGATCGGTGCTACGTATTTCCCAGGTTTGTCGCAACCCCTTTTTCTACGGTTTGGGGGTCGCTAACTAACGTTCGCCTAGGTGAGGCTATCAAGCAGAAGACTGCCGTCGTAAACCAGGATGGCAAGTTCGAACTAAAGGTCCCGGGTCTTTTGATTATCGACACGCCTGGTCACGAGTCTTTCTCCAACCTGCGTTCCAGAGGTTCTTCGCTTTGCAACATTGCCATTCTAGTTGTCGATATCATGCATGGTCTTGAACCCCAGACCCTTGAATCCATGAAGCTGCTCCGTGACCGGAAGACGCCCTTCATTGTCGCACTCAACAAGATTGACCGTTTGTACGGTTGGAAGAAGGTCGACAACAATGGGTTCCAAGAGAGTTTGGCTCTTCAGAACCGAGGTGTGCAGAACGAATTCAAGAACCGATTGGAGCAGACTAAACTCGCCTTTTCCGAACAGGGATTCAACGCCGAAGTTTTCTACGAGAACAAGTCTATGGCCCGATACGTTTCACTAGTTCCAACGTCCGCTCACACAGGAGAGGGTATCCCGGATATGTTGAAGCTCATTTTACAGCTGACTCAGGAAAGAATGGTTGGTTCGCTTATGTATCTCTCAGAGGTGCAAGCTACCGTTCTCGAAGTAAAGGCAATCGAGGGTTTTGGTATGACTATCGATGTCATCCTGTCCAACGGCATTCTTCGGGAAGGCGATCGAATAGTAGTGTGTGGTGTTGAAGGAGCCATCACTACAAATATTCGAGCATTGCTTACTCCTGCAGTCATGAAAGAGTTGCGTGTCAAATCACAGTACGTACACAATAAGGAGGTGAAGGCAGCTATGGGTGTCAAAATAAGCGCACCTGGGCTCGAAGGCGCCATTGCGGGTTCTCGGTTGCTCGTTGTCGGACCTGATGACGATGAAGAAGATTTAGAAGAAGAGGTTGAAGCAGATCTCAACAAGCTTTTCAGTCGTGTATCTACATCGGGACGAGGTGTCAGCGTGCAAGCATCAACGCTTGGTTCGCTCGAAGCCCTTCTCGATTTCTTGAAGGACTGCAAGATCCCCGTCGCCAACGTTGGTATCGGGCCGGTCTTCAAGCGCGACGTGATGCAGTGCGGTACGATGTTGGAGAAGAGCCCCGACTATGCTGTCATGCTCTGTTTCGACGTCAAGGTGGACAAGGAAGCTCAGGCCTATGCTGAGGAGAACGGGATCAAGATTTTCACTGCCGACATCATTTACCATTTGTTTGACGCCTTCACAAAACACATGGAGGAGCAGCTAGAGAAGAAGAAGGAAGAGTCGAAGCTACTCGCCGTCTTCCCCTGCGTCCTCAACACCGTGGCGGTTTTTAACAAGACTAACCCCATTGTTGTGGGTGTTGATGTGATAGATGGCAACCTTCGGGTCGGCACGCCGATAGCCGCCGTGAGACAGGGCCCCACGGGCAAAGAAGTTATTAGCATGGGCCGAGTGTAAGTTCATCATTCCATCACATAAGCTAAGTACCCCTTCTCTCTCTCTAGAGCTAACAAGATATGGACAGATCATCGATTGAAAGAGATCATAAGCAGATCCCAATCTGCAAGAAGGGACAACCCTCTGTAGCAGTCAAGATCGAGATGGGCGGCCACCAGCCAACATACGGTCGACAACTCGAAGAGACCGACCAGCTGTACAGCTTGATTTCGCGTGCTAGTATCGACTGTCTGAAGGAGTTCTACAGAAAAGATGTAACGAACGACGAGTGGGCGCTTATCATCAAGCTGAAGTCCCTGTTCGATATTAACTAGGTAGACGGTAGATAAGACGTAGCTATAGCGATGGTTATTTCTAGCGGTTTGGTTTTCATACGCCACCACTGTGAGAGAGTTGTGTTGCTATGGCTATGACTTCGGCTACTTTTTAACACACATGTATTTATGAGCGGACGACAAGGACAAAAATGAGATACGGGGGGCGGTTCATCACGGATAGTTTTAATTGAATTGCATACGCTACTTACTTACCCCCCGATTTTACTTTTTATGTCGAGTAGGCAGGATTAGATGAATCCTGATTACTTAATTAAGTAGCTAGTTGGCTAACTAATATGCTGGTGACTCGTTGCAAAGTATAACATGTTTCAAGATCTGCAGGTCGACCAATAAACA